TCGAAGATGGAGGAAGGAACCATGAACCAGGGAATGCAGGCAGACACTGAAAGCAAGGAAACAGTTTATCTCCTGAAGGCTCCAAAAGGAAAGCAGCCCTGTAACACCCTGATTTTAGACTTCTGACCACCAGAACCATAAGAGAATAAGTTTGTGTTGTATTAATCCACCGAGTTTTGGTGTTTTAGTTATAGCAGTAATTGGACACTAATCCGGGGTTTAAATCTCGTGTCCCCAAGCCTCCACCTGCTTGGCTGCCGGGCCTCTTTCTGCCCTCCTAAGGCTCTCCCCAGTCACTCATAAGAATCCTTGGGCATGTTGTGAGCGCATGAGTATAAATAAGATCATTTGCCCGTGTTGCCCCTTTCTGGACTCCTCATGGAAGCTCACTGCCTGCGTGGCGCAGGAGACCCTCACCATGGCTGCTGCTGTGGGTGTCACAGTGTCACAGTACCCCTCCCCTCTTGCGGGGCGGGCGAGATACCGATGCCGCTGACCTCCCGCACCCCGCCACATCCCCAGAGGTTCCTCTCTCACACTCTGTCACTTGGACTCCAGGGCAGCACTGCACATTCCCCCAGCCTCACCAGGACATTCCTGAGCAGGACTTCTCCTGCTCTTCCCACCTGGCCTGACCTTTTCCTCCTTTGCGGGTAGTCTAGGTGGGGTGGGGTGGGATGAGCAGTCATCGTTTTCTTTATTATATATTTTTTTCAGTTTTCTTGCTTATCTCCCGGAGACTTGCACCCAAACACATACCTTTCTGTCTGGTTTACAGGCCAGAGGATGCATATCAGGTCACACAGATCGCCATTAGGGGGTCACGGTGGTGGTGATGGGGAACATGATTTGTTACCCTAACCCAACCCAACTCTGGCCCCCCGAGACACAAAGTATCTTAATGAAGGTCCAGGATGTTTCTTTCCTTCTCAAGGATTTATTTTTGGAGTCCATTATTTTCATTCTCTTCTTTCTTTCTGCTTCTTTTTACCCAAGGACACTGCTCTTAATGATGTCCCTATTTGCAACATCCTGCAGCCTTGCTTAGTAACTGTTATCATTTCTCATGTTATCTCCTTAAATAAAGGGACTTGTAGGAAGTAGGGGCTCTACAGGGATGCCAAGATAATAAGGATAATGCTAGTTGCAGAAATAAACGTCAAATGTTCAACGGCTTAATGACCCAGTAATAGTTTATTCCTTGCTTACTTACTTAAAGTCCAAATTGAATGTTCCTAATTGTGGGTGGCCTTCCTCATGGTCATGGTCATGGTCATTCAGGGAACTAGGCTCCTTTAATTGTGGCTTTGCTGTCACTTAGGCTCTTGGAATCCTGTACTTTCAGCTGGTGGATGGGAAAAAGAATGCAGCAGTGATTCTGGAACCTTAATGTGCATACAAGGCACCTCGTGATCTTGATAAAATGCTAATTCAGATGCAATAGGCCTGGGCTGGGGCCTGAGAATCTTCATTCCTTACCAGCTCCCAGGGGATGCTGAGACTCCTGGTCCAAGAATCATCCTTTGAAGGATGAGATAAAAGAGAATGGAGCAGTGGGAGTTGGGGGAGGGAGGGTGGAGGTTGTCTGCTTCTAAGCACCAAGCCTAGAAGTGGTAGATTTTGCACTCAGGCCCCATTGGCTGGAACCTAGTTGCATGTCCTCCCCAAACTCTGAAAGGAAGCTGGGGAATATAATCCAGCTATGTGCCCAGAACAAAGAGGACAGGTTTGCTAATCAACCAGCAATTTCTGCTACATGAAGACTTGGTGGAGGGCCAAGCACTTCCACCAGCTCTGCCTTCAGGGAAATGGCAGCATCCTTTATTAACAATCATGGAGGCAGCAGATGGAGAGAATCCCTAGACTTGCTGGAGTGGATGGATGTTACATGGCTCCATCTCCTCAGTGAGCCTGCTTCGCCACTGGAGCTAGGATGCAAAGAGGGGGAACCTGAGCTGGTGGACGGGAAACCTTCCCAACTCTCGCTGCTGTGGACGCTAAGACCCCTGGTGTGAACTGGCAGGAGGATAGGAGCTTAAATGTCCATGGGGCATCCCAGGATTCTGAGTGGAGAGAGCCAGACACCACTTGTTTCTCAGGCTGTCTTCCCTACCAGTAGCTGTGCCCCACCCTCCCTCTGTGGCCAGAGGCTTGTGGGTCTTGTGGGTCATCACTCATCTGTCCCAGGGGAACCTTCTGGAACCCTGTGGGATGTAGGTCAACAAACAGACATGGGCATGGATGCCAACCTCCCTCTGTGCCTCAGTTTCCCCCCTGCAGTGGTTCCTTCCTTGCTGCCTCAATTGGGAGTTGGTGATGATTAGAGACAACATCTGACAAGGGACAGCTCTCCATGTACCCTGTGTTACTGCCTGGCTCTAAACTAGGAAACTTAACTCTCTTGGAAACATGGGGAAGATACCACTTTCGCTCCACTTTCAGCGGCTCCTACCCCAGGGAGTGGGTGAGTTTTCTGATTGGTGGGATGTTGAAAGTCTGTTAGCCGTTGGTTCAAGTTTCTGTCTTTATCACCTTGCTTCTTGTTGGCTCATTTTTGGGATGAGCCCTAGGGATCTGGGTTGAGTTGGAAGGAAGGAGTCCTTGATCATGCAGCTGCTTTTGCATGCTGGTTCAGGCAAGAAAATGCAGGAAGCCTAATTTGGCCTCAAGTCCAAGTTCCTTCCTCTGATCCAGCTTTGTGAACAATAAAGCGGAGATTTTGAACTCTCTCTCTCTCTCCTGTGTCTATTTTTAAATTTGTTCTGAGCCCAGAGGAGACAGGCTACGAGTGACCAGTACCCTCTAGAGCCCCGACAAGATACGGATTGCCCAGCATTTATTATCTGCAGCGCTTAGTCTTTTGGGAATTAGGGTGAGAGAATGAGGCTACTTATAGCTACTGAAGTGGCTCATCTTGGTTGAGGATAAGTGGTCCTAAGGTTTCATTCCAACTGAAGATTTTAGTGGCTAAAATAAGATTTCAAAACAGCAGTGGTTTTCTAGGTGGGAATATTCATTCCAGAATCACTTGAGTTTATCTACTGTGTGTTTTTTTTATATATAAGTTTATTTATTTATTTGTTTTTATTTTTGGCCGTGTTGGGTCTTTGTTGCTGCGCGCGGGCTTTCTCTAGCGGCGGCGAGCGGGGGCTGCTCTTCGTTGCCAGGCGCAGGCTTCTCATTGCGGTGGCTTCTCTTGTTGTGGAGCACGGGCTCTAGGCGCACGGGCTTCAGTGGTTGTGGCATGCGGGCTTAGTTGCTCCACGGCGTGTGGCATCTTCCCGGGCCAGGGACCTAACCCGTGTCCCCTGCATTGGCAGGCAGATTCCCAACCACTGCGCCACCAGGGAAGCACTACTGTGTTTTATGATGCAGTTTATTTCATAGAATCATAAGACTCTAAGTCACAGAGTTTAGCCCTCCCAGTTGATTGTGAAATTTCCTTAGAAGGCTCGTCAGTTTGTCCAGGCTCTGTTTAGCCACCTGCGGTGAAGAGGAACTCACTTTGTCTCCCAGGCAGTCCATCCCGTTTTGCATCCATTTGACTTGTTAAAAGGTCCTTTGAACTGAAATGTGCCTCCCTGTGGTTTCTTTCATAAGCCTGGTCTCTCTGGTGACCTTCATCAGTGAGCTATTGCCGCAGTAATGTGCCTAACAAACCGAGAGGAAACTCAGTGGCCAACAGCAGTGTGTGTTTATTCTCACATTTCTGGGTCTGAGCCCCCGTGGTGGATCTGCTGAGCCAGGTCGGGCTCCTTAGCTATGTGGCTGTGCTTTCAGCTGTGTGGGTGGCTTGGCTTGGTTCTTTACTATCCACTGAGTTTAGTCCTCTCCCACATGTGTCTGTCCTTGATCCCAAGCTGAAGGCGACAGCAGCCACTTGGGGCACATTCTCCTCATGGAAGGTGGCAATAGTGCAAGAGGGCAAGCCCGGCTAGGCAAGCACGTTTCAAGCCTCATTCTGTTAGCCTCCTGTTGATCAAAGCAAGTGGAGCCCAAAATCGTGGGACGGGGACGGGGACATGCTCTCTGCCTCTGTTGGGAGGGACTGCAAGGCCAAAGGTCAAGGGCATGGAGCCAGGGAGGGGTGAAGAACTAGAAACAACCATTTAGTCGGTCAGAGCAACTCCAAAGAGGCTCACTTCCTTTCTAGGAGATAGGCTTTTCCCGTGTTTGAAAATAATAGTCATGTTTTCTGCAAATAGTAAAAATAGCATAAACTTGGAGGTTGAAGAAAATCTGGGTCTCATGCCTCTCTGTCTGAGTGGTCCAGGGCGAGTCACTCAGTCTTTAAATAAAATGAAAACTCTCCTTCTCCCAGGGTCATTCTGAAGATTAAATTGAACAATATATAAATAAGACAGTAAGCATCACACTGGTACCCCTTAAGTGCTTAGCAAGTATTACTTACCCTCCATTCCATCTTTCAGTTGGTTCTCAAATTTTTTCAAGGTCTTCTTCACTTACTTGAATATACTGTACTTTTTATATGTCCTCCTCTGATATATTCCTTGTACTAATGCAAGGCTCCAGGTGGAATATGTTAAAACAGTACCTGGGTGCTGTAGAGTTTCTGCTCCCATTGAGACAACCCAAGCTCGAATGAGGTTATATTTCACTTCATTTCACCCACGGAGGTTGCAGTTAACTAAATTCCTGAGTTTTTATTCCATGCTTCCTGTTGGAGCTACTGTTTTTAATATTTGCTGTTTTTTTTTTTTTCCTGTACGTGTTTATAGATTGTTTACTTTGTAGAATACTTCGTGTATGTTACCATCTCTTAATTCTTAAAACCACCTTGGTGAGTGGGATTTTTTATTCCCAGTTACAGAAGAGAGAGGAAATACTCCAGAGAGGAAATGTAGGTTTCTGGGGATCAACCATATCCTCCTAGAGGGACTGGATTTCTGGCCACTGTGTTTACAGGTGTGACTGATTCTCAGAAGGATTTTCTTTCTCTCTCCTTGTCTCTACGTCCCGCCCCCTTTGTGGGTCTCCAGGATCCTTCATGATGGTGAACAGCTCTGGGAGGGCCTCTGGCCAGAAGGCACACCTTCTCCTGCCGACCCTGAAGGAGAATGACACCCACTGCATCGATTTCCATTACTACTTCTCCAGCCGCGACAGGTCCAGCCCGGGGGCCTTGAATGTCTATGTGAAGGTGAACGGTGGGCCCCAGGGGAACCCTGTCTGGAACGTGTCTGGGGTCGTCACTGAGGGCTGGGTGAAGACAGAGCTTGCCATCAGCACCTTCTGGCCACATTTCTACCAGGTATGCTGTTTTACTGTAGTTTGATTTTTTTTTAAATTAATAGTCTATCTATATACCTCTTGCCCTCTTTAGAGTTTAGGTCTAGAAAGGACTTCATTTACTCACTTGTTCAACTCGTGTTTACCAAGCTGCTTCTCCTAACCAGGCTCGGAGGATACAGAAGAGATCCTCTACAGCCCCTGCCACCCTGGAGATCGCAGTCTGGAGGAGGAAACTGATTGATAAATAAATAAACACTTAGAATATAGTGGGATGCATGTGGATTCCACAGGATGCTGGAGGAAGCTAGCTATTGAAGCCTTCTATACAATAATTTCTTATAACAATCTGATGAGGGAGATACTATTATCATGCCTGTTTTACAGATGAAAAAATTAAGGTTCAGAAAGATGAGATAACTAGTCACATATTGCCCCTGAGGAAGACGGTGTCTGGGGGCAAGACAGTTAGGATGGCTTCTGAGAGGACCAGGCAGCTTAGGCTGAGTCTTGAAGATGAATAATTATTGAAAAAGGAAGGGAAAGACATTTGAGTTGACAGGGGTAGTGCACGCCATGGGCTGGAGGAGTGAATGAGAGATTTTGGCAGAGTTTGGAAACTGGGTTGTTTAGAGGTCGAAAAGGAGATCTACTGGGAGCTAAGCCTGCAGGGATGGGTAGGTCATGGGGTCTTTGAATGCCAGGCTGAGGAGAGTAAATTTATTCTCTAGGCTAGAGCAGCACTACTCAAACCATCTGTGGTGGAGGACCAGGTTTCTTCTCCTCAACTTGTGGACCAGTACTTTTATAAACTGCAATCAAAGTGTCACAGTAATGCCAAATTGCTGGGATACTCTCTAAATGCCTCTTATCTCCTTGAGGAGCCTCTTATCCCATTGAGGAGCCTCTTATCCCATTGAGGACTGATGACACACACTCTGCAGGGTGTCACCAGCCCACAGAGCTCACTTAGAGGAACACAGCTCCATGTTGTGGCCTAGGGCTGTTGAAAGTTTTTTTTTTTTTTTTTTTTAGCGTTATGCGGGCCTCTCACTGCTGTGCCCACCCCCCACCCCCCGCCCGTTGCGGAGCACAAGCTCCGGACGCACAGGCCCAGTGGCCACGGCTCACGGGACCACCTGCTCCGTGGCATGTGGGATCCTCCTGGACCGGGCACGAACCCACGTCCCCTGCATCGGCAGGCGGACTCCCAACCACTGTGCCACCAGGGAAGCCCCCAAAAGTTTTTTTTTAAACTACGCTATTAAGGTACAACTTACGTATCATAGAATCCACTTATTTTAAGTATGCAATCCAGTGATTTTTAGTAAATCTATTGACTTGCACAACCGTCACCATAAACCAGCTCTAGAACTTTTTCATCAACCCCATAAGATCCCCTGTGCCTGTTTAAAGTTAATCCCCATGCCCACTGATAGAAGGTTTTAAGTAGGAAAGTGACGTAGATCTACTTTTGGAGAAATTTCTCTGGAGTCGGAAGCAGAACAGGGACCTAAGGGTGGCAAGGTGAGTGGCTGGGAGATTTGTAGGCATCCTTCAGTTCAAAACCCATGGTATAGTTCTTTCAGATGTACCGTGCAAGCAGTTATAGACAATATGTAAATGAATGGGCGTGGCTGTTTTCCAAGAAAACTTTATTGTACAGAAACAGGTGATGGACCAGATTTGGCTTCCAGGCCATAGTTTGAACCCTGATGTAGGTGATGAAGCTGAGGTCTAGAGATGGACAATGAAGTCCAAGAGCACAGAGCGAATCATTGGCAAAGCTGGGACCAGAATCCTAGTGCCCTGGTTCCAAAACTCCCCCCGTTTCACTGAGTATAAACTTGAAGTGTCTCCATAAGTCTATGGATCCCATCAAGGAGGCCTTAGGGTTCTAATCTGAAAACCCCCTACCTAGGGTCTGATGCAAATGGATACAGGATGGGGCCACAGGTGCAAGTGGAAAGAGCAGGAAAAGTGACCCCAGAGAGGGATAGACCTATGGTTGGCTATGCTCTTTGATGGGGTATAGAGGGAAAAAAGGACGTTTCTTAGGCATCTCTTATGTCCCAGCTCTGTGGTAAGCATATTGCCACTCATTTATCTGACAGTAACTCCTGTATTGGGTAGTAACATGTCCTGTGTTCCAGAGAAGGGGATATTATTGGTCAATTGAGGTCCCCGTAATCCTGCCTAGGGTCCTCTGCTCCAAGCTGAGTTTCCTGCTTTTAGGGAAAAAAGCATGCCCCTTCTGAGAATCTTCCGTTCACTAGCTGTGTGATGTTGGGTCTATCCCATCATCATTCTGAATCACAGTTCTCTGGTTTGTAAAATAGAGATGTCAGTGGGTCCAATGAAGGGTTCTTATGTGGATTAAATGAGATAGTATATATATAACATCATATCAGGCTTGCAGTGGGCCTCAGCAGTTATTGGAAGGAAGGGAGGAGGAAGAGAGAAGAACAGACAAAGAGGATGGAGGAGGGAGGCCTTCTTTAAGGAAATACTACTGTGGTTGAGCTCTGAGCCATCTCTGCCCTAAGCAGCCTCATCGGGGAGAATATTCTGATTTCCAGTCTGTTGGGCACTGCAGCATCATTGCATTCCATTCCATTCCATTTTCTCTGCTCTTAGCTTTGTGGTGAAAAAGCCACTAATGCACTGAGAGCAGCGGTTTAGAAAAGACACGTGTGTCTTGCAGACACACACACAGCCAGTAACAGATAGTCCCTCGGCCATACACACGGGAGCACACACGAGTGCACACGTACCGGCCTGTTCCCAAACCCGCCACAGACGCAGGGGCACCACCCACACATATATCAGGGGAGAGAAAAAGGGGCCCATCAGGAGATTCAAAGACACTCGCCAAATGCATTTTAAAATTCACCAGACCCCAAGCTCTGGCTCTGCATGCATGATTCTGTGGACTAAATGCCATTTCGGTTCTCAGCACTGCTGGGCTTCAGACCCTGATGGCTTATGTATTCATTTATTAAAGTCATATTTCACAGTCCTGAAATTGACTTGTAGCTCTGTAATAAGCAGGGACATTTCATCTTTCTTATTAGTGGGCTCTCTGGCCCCAGGCCGTCAGCAGGGCCTGGGATGAGAATGTTCCCCCCACTGTCTACCCCTCGCCTGCCTCTTCTCAGGAGAGCAAGGGCTCATCCAGTGCCGCTGAAGCCATACTGCAGGTGGCTTCCCCTTTCCAGGTGATGTTAATTCTATTTCATGTTTTTTAATGATTCCAAACTCTTCTGTCCCAATATTTAAAAAAAAAAAGAACTTTAGTTGTGCAGCCACTTGTTCTCTCTATTCTCCATCACCTGCCTCGGTGAAATTACCTTTTATTCAGCTATGTAGACCTCTGAAATTTAAGACTCACCTGACTTGGACTTAACTGGACTCGAAGCCCAGTCCCTTTCTCAGGAGTTCCTCTGGCATCTGGCGCCCTGTGGGTTTGGTAACTTCTTGCACAATTCAGGAGGGGGCGTCACAGGGAGGGGGGCCACTTTGTGTCCTTCAGACTCCACCCCATCTCCTCTTTCATTCACCCACCACCCCTGCCCGCTAAGCAGCAAGCACTCCTTGTCTTAGGCAGGCCTCCTTGGGCTGGTGTGGGAAAGAGCATCTCTCTCGATTTCACCCCAAGCAGTCCCTCCCCCACCCTCACCATGAAAATATATGTGGTCCTCTTCCTAAGAGGAGTGCTGGTGAGCCAGCATTTTTCTCTCTCTTATCTTTTGAGAAGGTGTTTGCAGCCCCTTGAAACTTTTGCTCTACAAATTCTCTGCTTGAGGACTTCAGTGGTGAGCATAAGATGCCAGGCCCCTTAAACCGTGTCCCGACATATCCACACCCTCCCCCAAACAGGCACACAGCCTGCCTTTTGTGGAGGGGATGAGGGTGACTCATCTCTGAGCCTCTCTGGAGACGTGACTTCCTGGCTTTGCCCAGCAGCTCCTGTGCTGGGAGAGGTTTGCGCCTTTCTATGCAAGCTCCACTTCCCCAAAGCAGGAGGTCTCTAAAGGTCTAGGGGTTGGGGGATGTGCAGCTGACAGTAGGGACACATGGCAACCTTGGGGTTGAAGGCTGTCCTGCAGGGAAGTTGGGGTTCCCGGCCCAGGCCTTCTGCTCCAGTCCTGGCACCCCAGTGTCCCTGCCTCCATACCCTGACATGGAGCATCACGGGGTGGCCTTCGTGTGGCCCCCTCCAGCCCGCCCTCGCTACTCCCTGTCAACTAGAGCTCCCTTCCTTCTCACAGTTCTTCACTCACTCCTCTGGCTCATCTCCCATTCCTGGCTGTCATTCCTCAAGGGCCTTGGTTTCCTTACGAGTGTGCTTTGCTTGGAGATGACCATTCTCCTTCACCTCAGAACACCTGGGCAGGTCTTTCTATCACTGAGGGTCTTGACATCACCCTGTCCCTTTGTGGTGTCTGTCCCCAGGAACTGGAGCTGGTAGGTCTTCCTAACCAGGACCAGAAGCACATTGATGGGATAAGCATCTCCACCCGAAGCTGCAGATGTCTTCTGGGGCGCTTTCTGACCAGAAGGGAAGAGAGGACTCCAGGGGTCCACATTCCCCAGAACTTGGTCGGCTGGGAACCTGGCCCTGGGGGCTGAGGTGTACCTGTAACAGCTGCTTTTCCTGAACCACACAAGACAATGCTCTGTTCTGCTATTGCGTTTGTTTGAGTGGGCTTCTTCCTTTTTTATCAGCAGTGAGAATCCAGGGGGGCCCTCACATCTCTCCTGAGTGTCCCTGGTTGTGCTGCTTCCCTGTGAGCTGCCCTGGCAGCCTCTTGCTGCAGCCAAACCTGATTTCTCTAACAGTGTTCCGTAGTGCCCTGCCCTGTGGCTTCATACAGAAGCTCCTCGTGGTCAGAAACGTGAACCATGAATCCTAGCAGTCATTTGCATTGCCAGATTCCCATTCAGAACCCCAGCAATAATGGGCATTACCAGGATCTCATTCAGAACTATAAAGCATGCAGCATGGATAAGGGGGTGTTT